TTTTTGCAATAACTTTTTTGTTTATTAACCGATTTTAATTTAACCAGTCTCATTTTGTAGATAATTTTACTCCCTATAAGCTGTCTGAGAGTCACTTTTCGCTAAAATTGATGGTTTTCCCTGCAAAGTGAAAAAACTGTTTTCCTCACTTATTTGTTTAAATAGAAAAGTTAGCTAATAAAAGTTTTTGACTCACGAGACGAGAGATGTCTTGTATTATGTTCCTTTAGACAATTTTACAATAATGTAGCTCGCATTCGTGGGAGAAACTTTCCGACACGATTTTTTTGTATATTCAGATTCGTGAGATGTTCCTTGACATGAATCAAGATGATGCCGGCCGGAAATCTGGTGCCCATTTGTTTAAACAAACATTTTTTAAACAAACTGTAAATAATTGTTTTTTTTTTTAGGTTTTTTTGGCACATTATAAACAAAAACGTTCCTATACGTAGTGCATAGTGCACTATGCCTCTAAAATTGATAGTTTTAAAGTTATAAACAATTTAAGTTGCTAAAAATGCGAAAATGACGATTTTCAACGGCCGATTTCCGGGTTAAAAATTATTATTTTTGATGTTGTCAGGTACCTAAATTAAAGTTTAAACATCCCCCTACAAGATGCTGAAGAGTTTTTGGGACTCACATTATTCTAAAGCCTCGTTTTTTAATTGTAATAAATCGCTATGAGCCGCGCGCCTCTCTCATACGCGGATTCGCTATTTCGTCTAGCGCTAGCAGCTTCAGCTTATGTTCTTTCAATTTAGCATTCTAAGTACTATTATTACTTATAAAATAATGTAAAAATTGATTATTTAAATTTCATAATCCATAATAATTTTATTTAATTAATTCAAAATTGTACGAATAGAGTGCAGAAAAAAAATAAAAGGGCAATAGTATCAAATACATTTGATTTTTATTATGGAACATTTATTTAATACTGCATATTATTATCACACATTTATTCAATCATAAGAATTCTCACACTGTTCTATGTTACAACCACATAAAGGTGCACAAGTGACATAGTTTTTCCTACAACAAGAACAAGCTTTAGTCTTAAAGTTTTTTGTACATTTACATTGTTTAAGGACCATCTCACGAATCTGAATATGCAAAAAAATCGAGTCGGAAAATTTCTCCAACGAATGCGAGGTTTTCGCCTTGTTTAACTATAACTTTAAGTAAGTAGCAGATAATTACCATGTTTTTTTTTTTATTTAATCGCGTTCCATTGTTTCTACGAAGTTATGGAATTTTATTGATTTCTTTAAATACTGTATAACACAAAAATGTACGAAATGACATTACGTGTCATTCCCTTCGATAAACTACAATTCAAACTATTTTTTTTTTAATAAAGATAAAAGCACGCGAGCATTCTGTTCGAGCATCATTATCATTACCAACTGCCTCAACTAATCACTGGGTTTGGAATGTCAGTGTAACAATGCTGTGCCCCAGTACTGTAGAATTATTGCAGCTACATGTGATTTGAATTTAATATTTGTAATGTTACATTCACAAAGATAGGAGAAAAAACAACTCTCCATTCCAATACAAGAAAATTGAAAATGTGCATAAAAGTGGAAGAGGCGTGGCCCAGGTTCTGATCCTTGAAGCACAACATTTGTTTTTAATTCTTTAATTGACATATCAAAACGCTCAAACTGGGTTTACTTAATTATACCCTCTGCGATGCATACTAACTAGTTCTTTGTGGTTTTCCCACACAAAATATTAAATCTATATTAAGAATGGTAAATTTGAAATGACTGTAGTGTTGATACCCCAATCAAATCAACCACAAAATCGGTTCTTCTTCAAGGTCGATCCCCGGGAACTGACACGTTCTGTCCAAATACGTAAGAAATACCACATATAACGGCTAATTTTAGACCGTTAATCATAATGACAATACGAATTGATTAACTTGCGGTTTAAGCTTAGGCACGACCGCCATTATTAGTTCTAAGAAAGAAAATAATAAGAGTACATTGTGGGTTTTCTGTTTCGTTAATTACGTATTTTGGAAATTACTTTTGAATATAGTATCTACAAAAATGTAAA